AATAAAAAACTGGCAGATGTTGGAAATGGTATGAAATTTGGGTTTTTTTTTTGTTCCTATAGCATTAAGTAAGTCTAATGGAAGACAGAGCTATTATATAGAATTATGCATTCTTTTCCTTAAAATGAAGAGTCAATGAGTATTCTATTAAAAAAAAACCTTTTTATTGAATGATGCTAAATCTTAATAGTTCTCATTTTCAATAGGCCTAGAAGCATTCTCTTCTAGGTTGTTTCTCTCTGAATTGTGGTCAGTGAAAATATAAAAAGCACTCCTATTTATCAAAAATCAATGTTTCTTTTAATTAAAGGGGCTTGGGAAAACAAAAAGCACTTTTACCATTGTATTGTTTGCAGTTGTTCTTCATTAGACAATACCAGGTTTCCATTAGCTTTGTGTAATTCAGGAGTCTAATAACCACTGTCAAATGCTGAAGATGTTACTGCATAAGTCTGATTTAGGACAGCTATTTGGATCTCAATTATTAATGAAATTAGTGTCCTGAATGTCAGCAAGAGCATTGCCTTAGGTTGGGGCTGCAAAGGAAATCATATTAGTGTGGAATTTCCTCTCCTTAGGGGCTCCTCCTATATTACATTATTCACTTAGCTATCTCTTGTCACGGAGATGGAATTGTTGGCCATCATTTGATCTTGGGGCAGAACCAAATGGAGAAGTTGCAAGATTTCTGGTGTCATCAATTCCAAAATCTTAGCGTGGTGCTGATATCGCTTTCGTCCAATCGAATGTTTATAAAATAGCATCAGGAAGGATAGTACACACTGGCAAACAGAGAAGAACAGAGACTTCTGTCACGAAAAATCGAGGAGTATTTTATCCAGTAGTCAAGTTTCTTTAACCTTTTGGGGACTTGCCCAAGAACATTGGCAAGTGTGATGGCTCTTCTGTGGCCCTGCATCCTGGTGGCTGCCACAGGTGAGTCCTATTAATGATTTTACTGGGCACTGAGTATTAATGATTAGAAGCTAAAGATAAGGGATACAGTGTGCTGTAAACGTCTTACAATTTTTTGTTTTAATTCATTCACCATAAAATGTCAGTCCTGTGAAGCTACAGGGAGACCAGTGATTTGTTTCTAACTTTGTTCCTACAATCATACACATATGTATAGTGTCACATGATAGAACTTTTTACACAGAGATGAAAGTATGCTCCAAAATGTTATGAGTGTTTGAAAAATCTCTCCTTTTCTAGAAATTAAGCTCTCTGCAGCAATTTATACTGAGTTTGTGGCATTCTTTTTCAGCTTTATGTATAATAATATATTTTTATTATCCAAAATGTTCTGTGTTCATTATAAGCTTTTAGTTCCATGGATGTGTCATGGCTACAGATGCTTGTGTATCATGTCAGTATTATAGTATGTATGTAAACATCTGGTCTTATAAAATGTACATAGAGATGAGTTTATCTCTAAAGATTGTACTAAAACTTGCAAGTTCTGAGTATACAATTCCTTTGAAAAAGCACTTTACAAACTAATATATCTTTTCTAAATTTCTCAAATTATACTTCCCTGGTGACATTAACTCTACTGTATTGAACTATTTAAGTTATAATACAATAGAGTCTTTGTATAGGCACACAAACCCAAGAATTTATGTTTATGCTGGTGTTTCCCAGCATCCCACTTTCTTGAGGGTTTTTCTAGCGCCTGTATCCAAATTTTCAAGTTTTAACACATAACTGAAAGTGAAATGAGTCAAATTACAGAGGTGAGTAAGGAATTTGGTAGTCATGAAGCTGGAAATTAAAAAAAAAAGCTGGAAATAATTTTTCTGTTAGATAGAGAAGAAAAATAATCTCTCATGAAAGTATGAAAAGCCTGGATGTTTAACTTAAAGGATAAAAGCATATCTTAATTTAAAAAATTTTATTGGATGCCAAATGGGTTTCTTAGCAAAAATAACTGTCACAATTAAGAAAGAAAAAATAGAAAACATAGAAAACAGAAGAAATTCTTCTTGATACCTCTTTCTAATCTATCTCTTTGTTTTTATGCTTAATTTTTGTTCTAAATAGAGCAGAAAGGTGTTTTAACAATGTCTAGAAACCAGTGTTTTACCATAAATTACATTGAAGATATTTGTGGCAAAGGGATCTGCATTTAGGATTTTAACTGTTAATTATCAAGACAGTAAATATCAGAATGCTGACCTGATCACCACTGCCTGGCTGCTCTCCACATGCTGAGGGTGTGCAGGGCAGGAGGAGGACTGGATGAGGAGAGAGATTTAGCTCCATCTTTCCTACTCACTCACCATATAATCTGGGCAAATCTCTTACACATTCTGTTTCCATGATTAACTTTAATTTTGGATATTCATGAAGATAAATAAGATGTGAAACTGTAAAGTGCAAAAAAAAATAAGATATTATTTATCTGAAAATACTATGCAGAAAATAATACTGGCTGTATACTGTCATGCTGAAAGAGCTTGGGCTTTGGATCCAGACCAGCCGTGTTTAAATTCCAGCCCCCTCGTTTGTGAGCTATCTGACCTTGGGCAGTACGAACCTCAAGCCTGTAGTCTCTCACTTAGAGTAATTGTGCACTCCTACAGACTGTGGAATTCCTAGGTCAAGATTATTGGGGATGTTAAATGAGAACATTCATGAGATTTAGCCTACTGCGTGGCATACAGTAAGTATTCAGTGAGTACTTGGAAGATGCTGGAACCATACACCTGAAACTATTTCCTTGTAAACTTTCAGTTGTGTGTATTACTCTCAGTATTCTAAAGAATATACTAAGTCAAGAATAGCTCTTTCCCTTAAAGTACCCCAGACATTTTAACATGAGTGTATGTGAGGGAGTAACTCATTAAAACAAAGAAAACAAAGGAATAATTCTATTGTATTCTTATCTTCTTTTAAAATCTCTACTACAAGTGCTTCACAGCTCAATCCCCAACACATTCTACTTTCTAGAAATCATACAAATGGAATATTTGAAGTGATTATTAGCATTCAGTGTTAGCGAGGAATCTTTCCTGGGTCTGTTGATAGCTTCCATCAGTGTCTGTTGAAACATCACTGAACTGTGAGTCATTTAGTGCTTGTGTGAATGTCACATTAGCTTTCAAGGGGCATCATTTACTGTTAATTAATGGTCACTTAAATCCTTAATCTTTCTCCTGTAATTGATCTTTCTCCTCAGGCACATTTGCATTCATAGTAGAAATGTAATTTATTATTTCTTCCCATCTTAAACAAAGAACTCTTTCCCTTTTGGTTTACTTAAGCACACTTCCATGCTTATTATTTTTCTCATTTCATTACTTGTTTCTCTTTTGTTCTGAGTCCTAGCTTCCAGAGCTTTCTCTTTTTACCCAAAGATTTTGATACATTTTTGAAAATATGTTTATCCACAGGGGACCCATGGATTATTTCCCAGAAAAGACAGCAGAAGGAAATTTTGAGTCTTTATGAGCAGAGAGTAGAGGGAACACATACACATTCATTTCTCAGAATTATGTTTTAACTCTGTTTCTGATAGTTTTCTGTATTGAATCATGAACATTTCAGCATTTCCCCAACTGAGACTTGAATTGGGAGCTTCCAAGCGAGGTAAAAATAAAGCTGCCCAAAGCAAAGTTTGTAGGAAGAGCATCGGGCCAGCTTTGCTTTATGTTCCTGACTTCCCTCCCCTGGGGTACGCCAGTGAGAAATGTTCTCAGGTAGAGAGATTCACAGCACACTTTTTGACAATAACCATTCACAAAAACCCTAAAACTGAGGCCTGATGCAAGCCACCCACCTTAGTCCTGCATGCCTCAATGGCTGATGCCATTTTAGGCATTTTCTTGGGTGGATAGTTAAGAAGTTAAAATGCTCATTAGATTCTCAGTTCTGATGGTAATGAAAGTGAATAAATATTCCACTGCCCACAGTGAGTCTGGGATTGTACCTCCAGCATCGTTGTTAGCATTTTGGTCACATTGACACTGATAAATCATAGAAATTGCTGCCTGTGGCGGCAAGTGACACGACATCATTCATAAAGAAATGGGCATAAACAGGATTGTCGCACAGGGAGAAGCGATCTCATTTACAGTTTCCTGCTGGATCCCTTATACTTTCAGCAGCTCATCAAAATAACCATCAAAACCACTGAGAGCCCAGGCAAATTCACACGCAGGACACTGCAGATAGATTTCATCACGCACTGTGTCAGGAGGTGTGCAATTTGCTTCAGTCCAATGACTTAGCGAAGGTTTGAATTCCCTAAGGGCTGGTGAAGCTTGTGAACAAAATATCTTTTTGCAATTCAGAGAGAGCCCTCACAAATTTGTCACTTCCAATTGTTGGTGTTCATTTCTCTTGCTTTCTGTCCCCTGGCCTCTCTTGCCTCACCACCAATCACTGCTTCTCTACAAATCAAGATTCCTGGGCCAGAGGAAATGGTTGTTTCCTGAAACCAGAAAGAATTTTCCCAAAACAAAGATCTCATTTTCTGACAAGTGCATTTTATTTAAAGACAGATAGTGTGAGGAGAAGAGATTTTTTTGAGGATAAAAGTATGAATTGAAATCTCACTCATTCCATTATCTAAAAACTCATACAGATTTTTTAGGGCTCAATGGTTTATCTATTATAAATGGAAAATCAAAAGAAAGAAACCAAGGTGGTAGTTAAATTTTGGCTATATATATAGGTGGGTGTCTGCTATGATAGGACCAGTGATACAGGAATAAAGAAAGAATTCTGTCTCCAAGATGCATGATTCCTGTAAAATGGAATTGTGGGTACAGTTTGCATTCTTGGAGATGGGTTTGATTTATTTATCTTTATTCTATTTCTCTATTGGGCACTTAGGCAATCCACTTACTTATTAAATAAGTTTCTGCCAAAGAGCTCACCAGCTAGCAGTGGGCTATTCCACTAATAGCCAAGTTCGGAACAATCTGAAATCTCCTAAAGATGCTTCTTAATTTCATTTTCATGGTGATTGTTTTTGTTTGTTTGTTTGTTTGTTTGTTTACCCCCCAGGAATTCTAGCTACAGATACACCTCATCCCAGGAATTCTACTCTGCATCATCTCACCCAATACCTACTAGAGCAATATCACAAGGAAGTGAGACCTGTTCACAATTGGCATGATGCCACCACCGTCTACCTGGACCTATTTGTCCAAGCTGTACTGGATGTGGTAAGGACCATCTTGCCATTTCTAATTTTTGTTTCCCTCTTGGAAAACTATCTGTGATTTATGCAGGAGCTTAGATGAGGCCCTATTCTTGAGAGTATGACTCAACTGTTAGGGAAATTTGCTAGATTCATATTAGGTGTTAGCATGAGGTAAAATATTTATTTGGTTAATCGTGCTTTCTAGACCCCTATTTAGGCAAAAAGGCTAGAAATACAAGTTTCATAGAATTAAGATAGTTTAGGAATTGTGGTCATAGGTCACAGTACAGATTTATTGCTGACACTAAAAATGGTGATAGGTTTCTTCCTGCAGTTCACATTTGTACTTTTTTTTTTTTTTGGTGGTATTGGGGATTGAACTCAGGGACTTGTACATGAGAGGCAAACACTCTACCAACTGACCTATATCCCCAGCCCTGTGGTTCATGTTTGTTAGTGATAATAGTAGATTTAAGAAAAGATAAAAAAAAAAAAAAGAAAGAAAAAGAAATACAAAGAAAGAAAGAAAAGAAAAAAGAAAAAAAAAAAAGATTCACTACTTATTACCTAAAATTTGAAGGTGGATGGGAGGAATGCCTTTGCATCATGAATTTATAAGAGGGCTTTTTTATGTAAAGCGTTTGCTAAGGATGGTAGGGAGGACTTGCTTATTAATGCATTCTTTTCTTCCTGTTTCTGAGAGATGGGTCATGGGAATGAAATGAGAACATGCATGTAAAGCTGTTAGCAGAGTTCTCAGTAAGAACTGGCCCTGACGATCCTCTCATTTCCTTTGTCTTCCCTAATTACAAAGTTTTCAATACCAAGAGAGCCCAGGTTTATTCACATTTCTGTATTTTATTTATTTATTTAGGTCCTGGGGATAGAACCTAGGAGTGCTCTACCACTCCGCTAAATCCCAGTCCTTTTTAGTTTTTATTATGGCAAAGGGTCTCATTAAGTTGCTGAAACTGTCCTTGAACTTTCAATCCTTCTGCTTCAACCTCCTAAGTGGTTGGGATCACAGGCATGCACTATTGCACCTGGCTAGATTTCCTCTTAAAAAATAGACTTTACAAGCCCGGTGCCTTGTGCAAGCCTATAATCCTACCAGCTCCAGAGGCTGAGGCAGGAGGATTGCGAGTTAAAGCTAGCCTTAGCAAAAGTGAGGTGCTAGGCAACTCAGTGAGACTCTTTCTCTAAATAAAAAATACATACAAAACAGGACTGGAGATGTGGCTCAGAAGCTGTACCCCCGAGTTTAACCCCTGGTATGCGTACCCCCCACACCCTGCCCCATCTCCCTGCAAAAAAACCCAGACATTACAAAGCTTGGTTAAAGTGGTTTAATATTGTTTTTCAATTTACTTCAAAAACTGTATCTGTCCTTTCTTCCTTCATTTGTGTGGTGCTGGGAATCAAACCAAGGGCCTTGTGCATGCTCAGTAGGCACTGTGCCACTGAGTACATCTCTAATCCACTTTTTAAAAGTTGAGAGGTATAACATGCTTGTATTGAAATGTACAGATCTTAGGTATAGAGTCTGATTGATCGTTTTGATAATTACATACTCATATAATCCATACTTCCATTAAGATAGCAAAGATTGCTATCATCTCAGAAAGACCTCTCATTTCTTTCCTAGTCCATCTCACACAAATATTGTTCTAATTTCTTTCATCAGTGATTAACTTTGTCAGTTCTAGAACGTCCGTTATGGGACTCACGTTCAGTTTTAAATTTTTTTCTTGGTAGTCTCTTATTTAGGGGAAGGGAGGCTGAGGATTGAACCCAGAGCTCCCCTCATGCCAGGCAAACACTACCTAGTGACATATGTTTCCAGTCCAGCAATTTGTGTTTTTGTTGTTGTTAAAGGAATTGAATTGTCTCATTCAGTTCATCATATTTATTGACTTAAAGTTACTCATATTTTTCTCTTTTCATTACTTTAATGTCCATAGGATTTCTGGTGATATGGCTTTTCATGCTTCATATTAGTAACTTGTGTTTTCTCTTATTTTCCCTTGACCAATCTTGCCTAAAGTTTATCAGGTTAAAAAAAAAATTTTTTTTTTTAAATAACCAATTTGGGTTTTGCAATTCTCTCATTATTTGTTTTCCAATTCACTGATATCTGCTTATTTATTTATTTATGGTGCTGGGGATTAGAACCCAGGGCCTTGTGCATGAGAGGCAAACACTTTACCAACTGAGCTATATCCCTAGCTATCTTTATTTGTTTTCTTCTACTCACTTTGGGTTTAATCTGTCCCTCTTTACGTAGTTTCTTAAAGTGAAATCTTTTTTTTTTAATGGTTTCAATCTTTTTTTTTAATATTTATTATTATTTTTTTAATTTTCGGTGAACACAACATCTTTGTTTGTATGTGTTGCTGAGGATCGAACCCTGGGCTGCACGCATGCCAGGCGAGCGCACTACCACTTGAGCCACATCCCCAGCCCTTAAAGTGAAATCTTGAATAAATAATTTTAGACTTTTAAATTTTCTAATGTAAGCATTTAAAGCTATAAATTTCCCTCTAAACATTATTTTAGTTGCACCCTATAAACTTTGATGCATTTTAAAAGTTAAGTATAAATCATTTAGGATGAAATTCATCTTTCTAAAGCTGATTCCTTTTCTCCAATCCCTGTCCCTGGCAACCACTGGTCTTATTTTTTTCCCCTATAGTTTTGAGTTCCCAGAATGTCATACAAATTGAATCATATGGTATTTTATCTTTTGAATGTGGTTCTTTTCACTTAGCATACATAATGCCTTTGAGTTTCAAACACATTTTTTCATATTTCAGTAGTAGTTTATTGTATAGTTGTGCTATAATTGTTTATATATTTCCTAATTTCTGGACATGTTAGATATTTCCATTTGGGGGCATTTAATTAATAATTTCTTTCTTTTTTTTTTTTTTTTAAAGAGAGAGTGAGAGAGAGGGGGACAGAGAGAGAGAGAGAGAATTTTTTAACATTTATTTATTCTTTCTTAGTTCTCGGCGGACACAACATCTTTTGTTGGCATGTGGTGCTGCTGAGGATCGAACCCGGGCCGCACGCATGCTAGGCGAGCGTGCTACCGCTTGAGCCACATCCCCAGCCCCAATAATTTCTTAATTTTATAAGAAATTGTCAAACCAGAGATGGTGTTGCATGATGGTAATCCTAATACTCAGGAGGCTGAGGCAGGAGGATGGCAAATTCAAGGCCAGCCTCAGCAACACAGTGAGACCCTATATCAAAACAAAAAGGGCTGGGGATGTAGCTCAGTAGTAGAGTACCTCTTGGTTCAATGTCTAGTAACCTGCACTCCCCTGAAACCAAAGAAAAGAAAAAGAAATTATCAAATTGTTTTCCAAAGGCTGTATAATTTGGCTTTTGGATTATAACATATTAGAGTTCCAATTTCTCCACATCATAACCAGTGCTTAATATTGTCAATCTTTTTTATTTTAAACCATTCTGGTAGGTTTGTAATATCTTAATTTTTTCATTTTTTCTTTCTAACTTCCTACCTTCCGTTTTTTTTTTTTTTTTTCTGTTCTGGAGATTGAACCCAGGGCTTTGTGCATGCTGAGCAAGTGCTCTACCACTCAGCTACACTCCCAGACCTTTCTATTTTTTGAGAGAAGGTCTTGCTGAGTTGCCCAGGATGGCCTCGAACTTGTAATCCTCCTGCCTCAGCTTCCTCAGTAGCTGGGATTATAAGTGGGCACCACTGTGCTCAGCTGAAATAGTTTCCTATAAACAGATATAGTTGAAGTTTTTTTTTTTCAGTTTTTATTTTGAAATAAATATAAATGTACCAAAAGTTGCAAAGAAATCTATAGGGGGTTGGGGATATAGCTCAGTTGGTAGAGTACTTGCCTCGCATGCACAAGGCCCTGGGTTCAATCCCCAGCACCACAGAAAAGAAAAAAGAAAAAAAAAAGAAAAAAAGAAAGAAAGAAATCTACAGAAAGGTCCTATGCACCCTTTACCTAAGCTCTCCCAATGTTAATATCTTCCATAAACATAATACAGTGTCAATACTAGAAAACGGACTTTGGTACAATTCACAAGGATTGTTCAGATTTCTCCAGTTGATGTATACCTATGTACATTTCTATATTTAGTTCTAGGTACATTTATTACATGAGTATATGTGTTGATCATCTTTCTAGTACTATTCACAATACCTGAGATAATTAACTTATAAAGAGAAAAGGTTTATTTTGGCTTACAGACCATGATTGTTTGGCCCCATTTCTTTGGACCTGTGGCAAGGCAGCACATCATGCAGGAGTATATAATGGAGCAAAACCACTTGCTTCATGAGTGGGAAGCAGAGACTGAGGGGGGAGTGGGGGGTGCATAATCCCCCTTAAGGGCATGCTTCCAGTGACCTAAGGACCTTCCATTAGGCCCCACCTTTTAAAGGTTCCATCATTTCCCAATAGGGCTGCCCTGGGGACAGAGCCTTTAACACACGTACCTGTGAGGGCTCTTCAACCTCAAAGTACAGCAGTCTAACTTGGTGTAACCACCACCATAATCAAGTTATACAACTCTACTCTTTGGTAGCTACCTACATCACCTTCTCCCCACTAATCTCTAACCTATAGCAACAATTCATCTTAATCTTTTTGCTTTTTCCAAGAATGTTGTGTAAATAGAAGCATATAATATATTACCTTTGAGATTGACATCTTTCATTTAGCCTAGTTTCTTTAGTTCTTTCATGTTGGTGTGCATAGCAGTAGTTCATTCCCTTTTATTGCTGAGTAGGATTCCTGGTTTTTGCTTCATTTAACTGGTCTGAAAAATCTATGCATTTTAATTGAAGTGTTTAGTCCATTTGCCAACACCATCTTGCTGTTTGTTTTGTAATTATTCTATGTGGTTTTTGTTCTTCTGTTCCTTATATCCCACCTTATTTTGGGTAAATTTAAAATTATTAACAAGTATTAAAAATAACAAAATATTTTAAAAATGTTTTTAACATTTTATTTTAGTTTACCTATTGGCTTT